CATTTGCTTTATCTTAGAAATTAAAACTTTATGTGGTTTTTGCTTCATAACCACTATATATATTGTCTTCTCCAAATAAATCACATTATATAATCCAAATCAACTAGTATGCATATAGTTTGGTTAATCTTTCCTGGCTTAACCATATTTTCTTAAGAAAAATGAAGTATTATTTGATTGTTTTTTTATTTTTTTTAATTAATTAGTAGATTTTGGTGGTGAGGGGTTGAGGGTGGTTGTTGACAGAAGATAGAGAGCACAGATGATGAAGTGCATAGAGAATTTTGCATCTCACTCGTTTGTGCTCTCTAGTCTTCTGTCATCACTCCTTATTAAAACCCCTTCTCTATAGATTAATTCTAAATAAATTTACATATGGAGCTCTCTCTAATCTAACCCTGTATGTTTCCTCTTGTGTATAGTTCAGATTTGCTGTGCTCAATGATTCATCTATTCATGGATCTGAAATGTAAGGATTTCAAATCTATATATAGTTATAGTAACTTGATTGAATTTGTTTTTTGGTTGGAATAAATATATATCTGAATTAGGTTGCATTCTGAAGGATTTTTGAATGGAGGCATTGGTGTACTTAAAAATTTGTTGTAGATTTGTAGATTTATTGAGATTTGAATTTATGAGTAAAGAAATAGGAGATACTACAGGCTCATGTTTATTTATTTTTGGTTCAGTAAGTATGATGTGTGCTTAATTAAAATTAAATTGTATCTCATTTGATCTCAAATCTAAGACCAAATGTTTGCTACAGCTGAATGGCAGAGCTTTCTTTAAGCTGTGTAGATACTGATATTGTGTTATTGGTTTTCAGAGGGTGAAATTTACATAATTGTTTTTGGACTTTGAAACTTAATTATAATAACATCTTTCTTTGACTTTTTTTTTTTTCCATCCATTCATTATTTAGGGTTTCAATTTGCTACAAACTACAATAACTTTTATTTAATTTCTTTTGTCAATTTGGTAGTTTTACATTTTTTTATCCATTAAATATTTAGGGTTCAATTTGCCACAATAACTTTTTTTTTTTTTTTCTTTTGTCACTTTCATCATATAATATTTTCGTGCTTTAATTTAGCACCATAATTTTTCAATTTATTGTTAAATAGTCTTTATTTTTTGGTGTGTATCAAATCGAACCTCTTAGTCCGATATCTATCTAAATGTCTTTTTGATTTCATCCTATTATTTTCCCACAAATAAATGTGGAAGACTAAATAATTGATCTCAAGTTGGAGTCTTTATTCGCCAGACATTTTGTACATGTATCTTTAAGAGGAAGCACAAGTTCACGTTTTAATGGCTTATGAAACTTATATCAAAACTTTAGGTGCGTCTACTTATAAAATGTGTGAAACAATTTCCAAACAGTTTAACTAAACACGGTTATTGATTGTGAGAATTGGACTGTATAATCATGTTATGTCTATCTTGTCATTTTATTTCAGCGTGGAGCTTCTATCGCCATCCGGAGAAGCACATTGGAGCCTCCAGTTGAAGACACGTGTCGCCGCCTCTATATTGACTCACTTCACATCTCGAATCTTCCCTTCAATTATCCCTATTTCTCAATTTATAAGGATAAGATATGATAAGGATAAAAGATATGATGAGTACTAATCTATCCGTTATCGCCCCCAAACAACTAATCAGTCCGTATTTCAGTGTTGTTTTGGCCGGGCCCCTTTATTGGATACAAGTTTGTGTTTCTGTGAAAAGTGCGCGTAACTATTGCTTTTTATAGAGTTTCGATTTAGTTGATTCACTGCTCTTCCTTTTTTACGTAAAGAAGCGTACGAATGGGAAGATAGACGAGATACTCTCTCGATAATACTTACAATCAATTCATATTTTATTCATAATCAACCACAATATAACAAATAAGAGGAGTCTTTAAATAAGACACCCAAAACTCTAAAAACTAACATGTCCAACAAGACAAGTTTCTTATAATAATACTAGTGTGTAGCCCGTGCGATGCACGGGTAAATAATATTAAATACTAATTATAAATTAAAGATGATAGTAAACAATATTAACTCATAATTATAAATTAAATATGAGGGTAAACAATATTAATTAATAATTGTAATTAATATGTGGGGTTCATATGTGACATAATTTATCGTATATCAGATGTAAACAATATAAAATTATCTTGTATAAAATAACATAAAAAATGTATGTTTAAAATATTAAAAACACCTAAAATATTATATAACGTATGTAAAGTATCTAAAATTTTATATATCCTTATTGAAAGATGTGAAGTCACCTAAAATTTTTCTAAACTATTTTATAAATAAAACATGTTAAAATTATTTAAAAAAATCTTGCCTACAATATATTATTCAATTTCCAAAAGATGATTATGTATAAGTTTGAATTTTAGAATCCACGTGAGTATTAATTTTTGGATCCGTGTACTATACAAATTATTCATTATGTTAATTTCCTCTTAACTTCACCTTGATTTATTGATTCTATTTTATTTCCATACAAAGTTGATCGTCTAATTTTGTTTATCATATTTTCGTGGATATTTAACAAAGTCGATTGCATTTATAAAATGATTTGGATATCAACATACAATTTATAATGGAGTTTTCAAAATTGTGTACTATTAACAAATAATATATTATCATTAAATATATTTTTTTAAATGCACAATTATTGAGACTGAGAATTTAAAAATTATTTTACCTTTTGAAACCGAGTATAAAAAAATAATAGATTGGTAAAAAAAAATAATAAACATTACCAAGTTTATTATCACACGTTCCAAATAAAAAAATTGTGATGATTAATGAAAAATGATATGTAAAGAATAGCATTCAATATCTTTTTTTTGAAAGACATAAATATAAAGACCAATATTCTAAAATTTTATTACCTTTTGAATTGAGATTTTATAAATATAGAGACTTAGATTTTAATGTTACTCGGTGTTTATATGAAAAAAAATAAAAATAAAAAATGCACACTTAATAGATCTTAGCTGGAATTTTCAAATAATAAAATGAATTAAACTCAAAATTAATGCAACATTTAATGTTAGTATGATTTTTTAAAGATAAAAATATAAAATAAAAAGACTTACTATTTATAGGTTGCATTAAATTTTCTCCTATTTTTTTGCTACTATTTTTGTTAAATGTTAATTCTTATTATATATATATATATAGATTTAATTCCTAACTTATTCTTCAAGATACCTAATAATAATAATTATTATTATTATTCTACACTATTCTCCCCCGGTTGAGCAGGATTCGCCCTCGAATCCGACCCATTCCCGTTGGAAAGCTCATGACCGGAATAGCCCAACGTTTCTCCCGATCGAACATGAAGGTTGAAGGTCGCCCAATAACCCCGATGGTAAACATAATATTGGGCAAGTACTGAACTGGTGCAAAGGCACAAGCACACGCCTTCATACGCATAAGCATAACCCACACAGCGGAAGTAACACCAAACATACCACATCGTTCGTTGCGCTCAAATCCATAACTGCGGCCAAACATCCCTTTTTTGGGAGACTTCACGATAGACAATTGAAAAATGACCAACCCGTTATCGAGTCTCGGCTTCGGCTCTGAAAAACCATCTTTGGTCAAATACTCCAAAAATCGGGTCTAAACGACGACTTCCCGTTCGAAGGGTCAACATCTGCGACATTCCACGCGGGACCCATATTGTCGCAAAAAGTTGTCTTCGTCATCAAAGGCTCATAAAAAATCGGCAAACTGTCGTAGAGACCGTCCACTTCGCCGGTAAAACGCTCCTCCACCTCCTCAAGACCTTCATCAAACACCGGTGGACCGTCGTACAATGGCCCGTCAACTTGCTCTCTGTCAAATTCGTGGATATCAACGCGAAACAGGCCTTCCCATCGACCATATTTGTCATTCAAATCCCAATCGCGTTGGGCACGATATCCGCCGACGAAGGCAGCCTCCTAGCGCCTGCCTTTGTCGTCGCGTTGATTGTCGCTGTCCACGAAGATCGGGCCCGTCGCCGCATGTCACGACCGTCGTATGCAGCAAAGGGGTCAGCCTCGATGTGCGGAAGTGGATAATCATCGATGAGATTAACCTTCGTGATTATCTCCTCGCCGTCTTCGTCACTGGACGGTGGTTGTGGAGATCTCCGGCGGGGCGCCCCGCCTGGACCACGGCCTCCACGTCCTCCGCGAACTCCCCCGCGCATGCTCCGGTTGTCGGCATCACGGTTCATCTGCAAATCCCAGACTACGTTGTCAAGCGTTAAAAGCAAATCCTCGATCCCCGTCGAAAGTAAACCAATCTGTGAAACGTACGTCCAACTGCTGAAATCGATAGTCGATCTGTTGAAACCGATCGTTGAAGGTTGCGTCACGTCGTTCGTTTGCGGCATCTTGTCGTGCCGGTGGCATCGCGAATCGTACTGACTGCTGATACCAACTGATGTAGGGAAGCGTACGAATGGGAAGATAAACGAGATACTCTCTCGATAAAACTCACAATCAATTCATATATCATTCATAATCAACCACGGAATAACAAATAAGAGGAACCTTTAAAAACACCCAAAACCCTAAACTAACTTGTCCAACAAGACAAGATCTCTTATAATAATTTTTAATTTCTAACTTATTCTTCAAGATACCTAATAATAATAATGATTATTATTATTCTACACCACTTTTTAAAGTGCTTAATTCGGAAAACCTTTCGTTTATTAAATTATAATTGATCATGCTATCGTACGCCTTTAGCTTTGACAACTAATGTAGGAGACCATAATATTGTTCCAGCTCGCATTGGGGGCTCGGTTAGTGTTATATTTATTTACTGTGGGTAAGGCAAGTGATAATGAAACAAGAGAAGATATGTTGGTTAAGATACTTGTCGGATTATTTAATTTGTGTCAGTAACTTGTCAATTATTGTTTTTAAGTAAATCAATTATTGTTTTCAAGTAAGTTCAACCATCAATCAGGAAATGACTATATTAATCTTAATATATCTTAATACACATTATTTATATTTTCACTTATTGTAATATATAATATATATTTTCACAAACTTGGCTGAATAAGATTCAGTTTGTTGGTTAGTAGAGCTGTCAAAACGGGTCGATGGGGTGGGCGGGTGGACCTACAAAATGCAGGCCCAACCTGCCCACGACTTGGGCCGCGGGTTCGCTGGAAAATGAAGAGATTGGACAAAGTTTTGAGACAGTGGTGGTGGCATCTTCGAGGGCGGTGGTGGATGGTGGTGCGGCCGTTGACGACTGTCGTCGGTCTGTTGGAGGTGTTAGGTCGCCGGTGGGGGAGGGGGCCCGGAGTGATGTGGCTGTAAGATTTGGACATGTATTTGATAAGCTTTTGTATATTATAATTGAGTTCAAGGTTAAATCTATAATTAATTGAAATCTAATTAGTATTTTAATTAACATGTAATATTTTATTATTTTTAATCTGAAAAAATATTATTTTTACTAAAACATAAGATAATAATAATATTATTATTTTTATATAGTTCGGTTCTGTTATTTCAGTTAAAAAAAACCGACATCGAATTAAAATAAACGTATTTTATGATTTTTTCAGTTTTGATTTTTGGCTTTTGCTGCGATTGTGCAATCAGTTATTCGTTGATGTGCGACGTATTCAACACTATTGTGCACGATGTCGGTCGATATTATGCAGCCTGAACAGACCAAACTAATGTCCCTAACCAAATTGAAATTGAACCGATTCACTTTTCTTTGTCGATTGTTTGAATAATCCTAAATAACCAAAATTATTTATTATTTATATTAATATATATTTAATATTAAATATGATCATATATAGATTTAATATATTCATAATTGTATTTCATATTTTTATATTATTATATTATTATACTAAATAACCGAACTTTTAAAATTAAAGAAGTACAATCAAACCAAAAATATAAAATTTTGAATTGAAAATTTTAGTTGAAAATTTTAGTCGATCAGTTCCGTTCAGTAATGTGCAATCCAATAGTTATTGATATGCAATTCATACATCCATAATGTGCTCCCGCTATACATAAATATTTAAAAAAAAATAACAATTTTCATATTGTTAGTCCGATAGTCATGAAAGTGCAATTCGTATAATAATATTGTGCACTTGACTGTAGGCATTTTAAATAGTATGGTCCACACCAACCTAATGTTAGTGTTATATACTGAAAGCTTGGCTTTGCATGTTATTACACATTTACCCTTTATGAATGAGAATCATGTTAGATTAAACAAGTTCTACGTTCTGTTGTTCTGCACTTAGATAGGGTGGGTCGTCATCGGGCGAACCGAAGATCACTCTGTCAGTCACTTGCGAACAAGAATAGTTGTTCACAACCTAGATGGACATGAACACCCCATCCGAACGGTTGTAGTGTCAACTGTACAGTTTGTCTTGACTGATTAGTTGCACTAGTACATTTATGTATTGAACAGGATCCCAGAGAGGAGAAGTTCATTTTATA